ATAGTAGAAAAAAACCAAAAAACTAATAACCCAATTACAAAATGGGCTAAGGACTTGAATAGACATTTCTCTAAAGAACACATACTAATGGCCAACCAACAGGCATATGAAAAAATGTTCAGTGTCACTAATCAAGTAAATGCAAATCAAAATTACAATGAGATATTGCCTCACACCTGTAAGGATGGCTATTGTCAAACGAAACAAAAGATGACAAGTGTTGATGAGGATGTGAAGAAATTGAAACCCCTGCACACTATTTGTAGGGATGCAAAATAGTGCAGCTGTTATGAAAAACAGTATAGAGGTTCCTCGAAAAATTAAACATAGAACTAGCACACCATCCAGCAATCCCACGTCTGGGTATTTACCCAAAAGAATTGAAATCAGGAACTCAAAGAAATATTAGCACTCCTATGTTCAGTGCAACACTATTTACAATAGCCAAAATGCGTAAACACCTAAATGTTTATTGACAGATGAATGGATTAAGAAAATGCGTTATATACATACAGTGGCATACTAGTCAGCCTGTAAAAAGAAGGAAATTCTGCAATATGCAACGATATAGTTGAACCTTGAAAATATTATGCTGAGTGAAATAAGCCAGTCATAGAAAGACAAATACTGCATGTTTCCACTTATATGAGGTCTCTAAAATAGTCAAATTCACAGGATCAAAGAGTGGAATGGCTGTGCCCAGGGCTGCGGAAAGGGGAGTTACAAATGGGGAAGTAACTAATCAATAGGCGTGTAGTTTCAGTCTTGCAAGACAAATAAGCTCTAGAGATCTGTTGTACAAAATTGTACCTTTAGTCAACAATAATGTATTGTACACTTAAATGCTGGGTGAAGCAAAGGACACACACAGATTGGGATCTGGGTGGCACAGGGCATTTTACCTTGTATATGTGTTTATTCACTAAATATGCTATTTCCCATTCATCACATTTCTATTCCAATGACCTCATGGCAAGCATCTCACAAGAGAGCTTGTCTATGCTAGAGAAGATGATATTACTTAAAACTATGTACCTGATACTGTAATAATTCCTCCCTACAACTATGATTACTATAGCTATCGAGTGTATAAGAAAACACCTGATTTTTCTAGTGCATGTGTATGAACATTTCACTTAGAATTTGGAAGCTATAATTTCTAAATTCGACACTTCTCCTGGTGGCTGCACAGTGCAGTAAGTCACATGCCTTCTTCCTCTTGGGGCCATGCCCACTGTGTATATGCTATGTGGTGCTGCCCCTCTGACCATTAGCTCTTTGATACAAGGTGGACACTGACCCACACTGGCCCAATCAGAGTGTTTCTCCCAGGAAAAATAAGAATCTGGTGCTAAATACCCAACATCCCTAGAGATAAGTAATTTGACACAACCTATAAATTTCCATGGTGCCTCACCTTGCCAAGGTCTACCTGTCCAACTCTTCCTTAGGTCTATGAGAGTACTCAGGATCATTTTAATAAATTTGCTATTCTTAAGTCACTTTGTGTGGCTTCTCACCAAAAGAACTTCCCTAACTAATACCACAGCAATGTTACTGAAAACTAACAATATTTATATTTTCCTTATTGGTTCAGATTTATCAAAGGCTACATTCCCTATTATTAAGGGCATTTCATTCCATGAGTTATAGAAAGCCTAAAAAAATCAAAGGGAAATAATTTGATTGGATTCTTGTTAGTAGTCTAAATTTCAAGAAAAGACAACTTTATAAGAAAACCCTCCTCTACCTTTTTTTTAAAGGAAAACACCATACACCCTGAAGTCCCGCTTTAATGCTCTACTCAGGGCCCATGCTGTGGAACCTAACACAACCCTTGATGGAGTTTGGATGTGCTGTCCCCTCCAAAACTCATGTTGAAATTTGATCTCCAATGCGGCAATGTTGGAAACTGATTGAGTCATGGGGGTGGATCCCTCATGAATGGATTAATGCTCTCCCGGGGAGGGGGGATTAATGAGTGATTTCTAGCTCTATTAGTTCCCACGAAAGCTGGTTGTTTAAAAAGACCCTGGCACCTCCTCTCTCTCTCTCTCATGCTTCCTCTAACCATGTGATCTGCTTGTACCTGCTGGCTGCCTGCCAATTTCTGCCATGAGTAGAAGCAGCCTGAGGCCCATGCCAAATAAGCCAAATAAACCTCTGTTCTTTATAAATTACCCAGTCTCAGGTATTTCTGTTATAGCAACAGAAAGAGAAAATTGGTACCAAGGAGTGGGGTGTTGCTATACAGATATCTGAAAATGTGGATGCAACTTTGGAACTGGATGTTAGGCAAAGTTTGGAGGAGTTTAGAGGACTTAGAAGAAGACAAAAAAGATGAGGGAAAGTTTGGAATACTTTAGAGATTGGTTAAATGGTTGTGATCAGAATGGTGATAGAAACGTGGACAGTAAAGGCCATGCGGTTGATGAGATCTCAGATAGAAATGAGGAACTTACCAGGAATTGGACAAAAGATAACCCTGCTACACCATAGCAAGGAATTTGGCTGCATTGTGTCCATGCCCTTAGACTTTGTGGAAGGGGGGACTTAAGAGTTGTGAACCAGAATGCTTGGCAGAAGAAATTTCC